TGCCAAAGCTGGACGCCGCTACTCACCTCACAGATATATAGCTAACGGTGGTCTCGCTAAAGCTCACTACCGTTGTCTCGCATCATAGATGGTCATTGAAATTTGAAGTCGCTGTCTCGCCACTGCCGCTACTCGCCTGACAGATATATAGCTAATGGTGGTCTCGCTAAAGGTCGCTGCCATTGTCTCGCATCGTAGATGGTCTTTGAAGCTTGAAGTCGCTGTCTCACCACTGCCGATGTCTAACATTGCAATTGGTCTATGAAGCTCCCCTCGCAGAGGGTTGCCGAAGCTGGACGCCGCTACTCGCCTCACAGATATATATAGTTGATTGAAGATTGCAACATCGAGGTACTTGAAGCTACATGGGATTCTTCCAAGTCTTTGAGGATTCGAGACAAAGGGTTTCTCGTGAGATTTAGGGTATTTTGATCCATCTCTATCTTTACTTTTGAGAGTAATCTTGGGACAATATTCCAACTTATTTGAACCTTGGACTAGGTTCATATCAATTTGGTATTCAGAGCCTAGGTTTATCTCATTATCATTAGAAATTTGGTTTCTTCGGTTCCCTAGGTTTATCTCGTTCTTATCTTACATACTACTTTTATTCGTGTCTTATTCGTTAAAAACCCCCCAAAAAAATTTTCCTTTGCATTCTTGATTGTGTTCTTGAATCTTGATACATGTTCTCCAGTTTCTTGAAAAACAATCCCGAGGATTCGAGACAAAGGGTTTCTCGTGAGGTTTAAGGTATTTCGATCCATCTATATCTTTATATTGAGAGCAATCTTGGGGCAATACTCCATCTTATTTGAATCTTGGACTAGGTTCATATCAAAAAAATCAAAAAAAAAAAAAGAAATCAAGAAATTTGAAAAAAAAAAAACAAAAAAGAGAAAGCAATAAAGAAGAAGAATAAGGTTGGGAAAAGAATCTGGTTGGTAGGAGAAATTTGGAGGGATAAGGAAGGGGAAAAGTATAAGGTTCGAAGGAGTTCTTGATATATTCTTATTTAGTTCTGGTACACTTGCACCCCTATTACATTCTATTTGTATCTATCTATTGATATTGGTCCTGAGTAAGGTGTATCGCGAGGTAGGTAATAAAATTGAGAGCAAGAAGCAAAGAAAAAGGACAATACTAGCAAAGAAACTAAGCAAGATTTGAAAGAAAAAGGGAAGCAAAGAATGAAGTATGGCAGAAAGATATTCAGGACCAATATCAGAAGATAGACACAAATAGAATGTAAGAGGGGTTCACGTGTACCACAACCAATTACGAATCTATCAAGAACTCCTTCCAACCTTATACTTTTCCCCTTCCTTGTCCCTCCAAAATTCTCCTACCAGCCAAATTCTTTCCCCAACCTTATTCTTCTTCTTTATTGTTTTTTTTTTCAACTTTCTTGATTTTTTTTGATAAGTAACCTCCAAATAACTACTGTAAATATCAACAAAAATTTCGGACCAAGAGGATCCACACAACCCCTTCAAAATAGAACCAAGAATTTCAAGAATCACCGAGAAAAACAGAAACGCTGCACTTACTTCGAAGATCAATATCTCAATGGACGTAAGTAATTAGAAAGTGTATAATATATCAATAGAACTCCCCAGAAGAGATCTAAAACATATCAAAATATCTGATAAAACTAACTGGTGGATCTCGAGATATAGGTCATTATTTGAAACTGGTCACAGAACGCGGAAATCTGGACAGGGTGTGATTGCGATGTGATTGCGCGTAAATGCGCTTTGGATATAGGTAAGGGTGATATGGGGCTGTTTTCCTGAAAGAAATTTTGATAATATGGTGCTTAGGAGGTGTGAGGTCTCGTTGATATTGGATGGTAAAAAAGGAAAACCTTTTCGAGATTGTTTTTCAAGAAAATGGACAACATGTATCAAGATTCAAGAACACAATCAAGAATGCAAAGGAAATTTTTTTTGGGGGGTTTTAATGAATAAGACACGAATAAAAGTAGTATGTAAGATAAAAACAAGATAAATCTAGGGAACCAAAGAAACGAAATTTCTAATGATAATGAGATAAACCTAGGCTTTGAATACCAAATTGATATGAACCTAGTCCAAGGTTCAAATAATATGGAATATTGTCCCAAGATTACTCACAATGCAAAGATAGAGATGGATCAAAATACCTTAAACCTCACGAGAAACCCTTTGTCTCGAATCCTCAAAGACTTGGAAGAATCCCATTGTAGCTTCAAGTACCTCGATGATGCAATCTTCAATCAACTAGAGTCGGATCTTGTTTCCTTCGATTCAAGAACGAGTCCACGAACCAAAATCTAAGGTTGAAGAAAGGAAGATTGATACGAGTCCACGAATCAATTTGCTAGTCAAGTCCACGACTAGCCACTAATTGAGTGGGGGTCTCGCTAAAGCTCGCTGTCGTTGTAGCCTCACAGATATATATATGGCTAACGGTGGTCTCGCTAAAGCTGGACGCCACTACTCGCCTCACAAATATATAGCTCTTTAAAGCTGGCTGAGACGCTCTTTAAAGCTGGCTGCCGTTGTCTCGCCACAAGCGATGGTCTACGAAGCTCGACGCCATGTCAGCCAATAAAATGCGTCACCAGCAGGAAAGCCGTGCTCAATAAATATACATCAACAGCAGGATTCGAACCTGCGCAGGCAAAGCCCAATAGATTTCGAGTCTATCTCCTTAACCACTCGAACATATTGACAAGTTGACACTCATGCTAAGATGATTGTAATAGATACATCAAAGACAAACTGAAAGGAAAAACAAACCGGCAACAGCAAAAAGGTGCACACCGTAGGGATCGAACCCACAACAACAAGGTTAAAAGCCTTGCGCTCTACCAACTGAGCTAGACGAGCTTGTTGACAATTAGCCACAAATACTGTAAATAATCCGTAATCATAGAAAAGTCTACACTGATCTTCCATTTAAAAAGGTGAGTGGAGAACCCATTATTTGTTTGGGGGCGCGTATTGCTTAAGTCTTCCATTAAACTATTGACTCCATCACATCAGTCCATCGCTCATTACCCATGCGGATTGACTTCCAAACACGGAGACTTAGTAAAATTTAGACATCTTAATTATGAGTAACAATTAAAACGAGCTCTTGGTTAAAGTTCAGGATTTTATTTTTATATATAGTATAGATTACAATAGGAATTGTATTAAACAATTTTATAATATTAGAATACGAAATTTAATCTAGAATTATAGTACGAATAGAAAACTAGAAAAAAATATATTTTTATTAGAAAGAGAAATTTTTTCGGAATCGGGCGGGAGGTGAAAGATTGGGATTTTGTTTTTATATATAATATAGATATAGATTATAATAGGAATTGTATTACACTATTTTATAATATTAAAATAGGAATTTTTAAGCCCGCACGGGTTTAGCTCAATGGTTTAGTGGGTAATATTTGGGAGAAAAAACCAAGGTTCAATCCTCAGACAGCGGTAGTGTGGGAATTATGTCCAAAGTGGGCAGATTCCATTTATTAAAAAGAGAGATTTTTTTAGGAATTTGGCCGGAAGTTAAAGTTTTGGATTTTGTTTTTATATGTAGTGTAGATTAGAATAGGAATTGTATTACACAATTTTATTATATTAGTCCACCGTTAACTTGAGACCAAAGTAGTCAATCGTTTATATTTATACGTGAAGTATAATATAATGAGAAAAAAATAATTTTATGGTTATACACACACACACACAAATAAACACACACACACACACATACAGTTTTATGGTTATATTCGCAATTATGACAATGCTTGGTGAGGGGGGAAAAAAAAACATTATAATATTAATTTAACAGGTGAACGAAAGCCTAATGATTATAATGAATGAAAAGTCCAGCTTGGTTAGGGGTTGGGAGTTGGGGGTTGGGGGTTGGTGGGTGGGTAGGCGGGGGGCGGGGGGGAGGGGGGTGGCGGCAAAGCCTCTTATAATTAATAGGTGGTTGCACCCCTGGAGGGAAACAATACAAAATGAAGAATTATAATTTTCAAAGTCACTCATCCATTGTATTAATTATTTAACAATGAAAAGCAAAAGAATAGTGTAAAAAATATTATTCAAACTGGAGGAAATTTTAATATGCTGGCATAATATGCAGAAAATTAACCATAATACCTCCAGTAGATACATCAACATAAAGAAACCAAGTTCAGTTTTGGACTCACAAAAGAAGTTATACTTCAAAAATAAGTAAAACACTGAGCAGAAAATTACCTTCTATCCTCGCAGACGGTTGCCAAAGCTGGACGCCGCTACTCGCCTCACAGATATATAGCTAACGGTGGTCTCGCTAAAGCTCGTTGCCGTTGTCTCGCATCGTAGATGGTCGTTGAAACTTGAAGTCAATGTCTCGCCACTACCGCTACTCGCCTCACAGATATATAGCTAATGGTGGTCTCGATAAAGCTCGCTGTCGTTGTCTCGCATCGTAGATGGTCGTTGAAGCTTGAAGTCGCTGTCTCACCACTGCCGATGTCTAACATTGCAATTGGTCTACGAAGCTCCCCTCGCAGATGGTTGCCGCTACTCGCCTCACAGATATATAGCTAACAGGGGTCTCGCTAAAGCTCGCTGCCGTTGTAGCCTCACAGGTATATGGCTTAATGGTGGTCTCGCTAAAGCTGGACGCCACTACTGGCCTCACAGATATATAACTTGCTAAAGCTGGCTACCGTTGTCTCGCCACAGGCGATGGTCTGCAGGAAAGCCCAATAGTTGACATATTAACAAGTGAATATGCTCAATAAATATACGTCAACAGCAGCATTCGAACCTGCGCAGGCAAAGCCCAATAAATTTCAAGTCTATCTCCTTCGAACCTGCGCAGGCAAAGCCCAATAAATTTCAAGTCTATCTCCTTAACTACTCGGACATATTGACAAGTTGACACTCATGCTAAGATGATTGTAATAGATACATCAAAGACAAACAGAAAGGAAAAACAAACCGGCAACAGCAAAAAATTGCCCACCGTGGGGCTTGAACCCACAACCACAAGGTTAAGAGCCTTGCGCTCTACCAACTGAGCTACACGAGCTTGTTGATAATTAGCCACAAATACTATAAATAATCCGTAATCATAGAAAATTCTACGCTGATCTTCCATTTAAAAAGGTGAGTGGAAAACCCATTATTTGTTTGGGCTCCCGTATTGCATAAGTCTTCCATTAAACTATTGACTCCATCACATCAGTCCATCGCTCATTACCCATGCGGATTGACTTCCAAACACGGAGACTTAGTAAAAGTTAGACATCTTAATTATGAGTAACAATTAAAACGAGGTCATTGTTAAAGTTCAGGATTTTATTTTTATATATAGTATAGATTACAATAGGAATTGTATTAAACAATTTTATAATATTAGAATACGAATTTTAATCTAGAATTATAGTACGAATAGAAAACTAGAAAAAAATATATTTTTATTAGAAAGAGAAATTTTTTCGGAATCGGGCGGGAGGTGAAAGATTGGGATTTTGTTTTTATATATAATATAGATATAGATTATAATAGGAATTGTATTACACTATTTTATAATATTAAAATAGGAATTTTTAAGCCCGCACGGGTTTAGCTCAATGGTTTAGTGGGTAATATTTGGGAGAAAAAACCAAGGTTCAATCCTCAGACAGCGGTAGTGTGGGAATTATGTCCAAAGTGGGTAGATTCCTTTTATTAGAAAGAGAGATTTTTTTAGGAATTTGGCCGGAAGTTAAAGTTTTGGATTTTGTTTTTATATGTAGTGTAGATTAGAATAGGAATTGTATTACACAATTTTATTATATTAGTCCACCGTTAACTTGAGACCAAAGTAGTCAATCGTTTATATTTATACGTGAAGTATAATATTATGAGAAAAAAATAATTTTATGGTTATACACACACACACACAAACAAACACACACACACACACATACAGTTTTATGGTTATATTCGCAATTATGACAATGCTTGGTGAGGGGGGCAAAAAAAAACATTATAATATTAATTTAACAGGTGAACGAAAGCCTAATGATTATAATGAATGAAAAGTCCAGCTTGGTTAGGGGTTGGGAGTTGGGGGTTGGGGGTTGGTGGGTGGGTAGGCGGGGGGCGGGGGGGAGGGGGGTGGCGGCAAAGCCTCTTATAATTAATAGGTGGTTGCACCCCTGGAGGGAAACAATACAAAATGAAGAATTATAATTTTCAAAGTCACTCATCCATTGTATTAATTATTTAACAATGAAAAGCAAAAGAATAGTGTAAAAAATATTATTCAAACTGGAGGAAATTTTAATATGCTGGCATAATATGCAGAAAATTAACCATAATACCTCCAGTAGATACATCAACATAAAGAAACCAAGTTCAGTTTTGGACTCACAAAAGAAGTTATACTTCAAAAATAAGTAAAACACTGAGCAGAAAATTACCTTCTATCCTCGCAGACGGTTGCCAAAGCTGGACGCCGCTACTCGCCTCACAGATATATAGCTAACGGTGGTCTCGCTAAAGCTCGTTGCCGTTGTCTCGCATCGTAGATGGTCGTTGAAACTTAAAGTCAATGTCTCGCCACTACCGCTACTCGCCTCACAGATATATAGCTAATGGTGGTCTCGATAAAGCTCGCTGTCGTTGTCTCGCATCGTAGATGGTCGTTGAAGCTTGAAGTCGCTGTCTCACCACTGCCGATGTCTAACATTGCAATTGGTCTACGAAGCTCCCCCTCGCAGATGGTTGCCGAAGCTGGACGGTGTACGAAGCTCCCCTCGCAGATGGTTGCCGAAGCAGGACGGTGTACGAAGCTCCCCTCACAGATGGTTGCCGCTACTCGCCTCACAGATATATAGCTAACAGGGGTCTCGCTAAAGCTCGCTGCCGTTGTAGCCTCACAGGTATATGGCTTAATGGTGGTCTCGCTAAAGCTGGACGCCACTACTGGCCTCACAGATATATAACTTGCTAAAGCTGGCTGCCGTTGTCTCGCCACAGGCGATGGTTTGCAGGAAAGCCCAATAGTTGACATATTAAGAAGTGAATATGCTCAATAAATATACGTCAACAACAGGATTCGAACCTGCGCAGGCAAAGCCCAATAAATTTCAAGTCTATCTCCTTAACTACTCGGACATATTGACAAGTTGACACTCATGCTAAGATGATTGTAATAGATACATCAAAGACAAACAGAAAGGAAAAACAAACTGGCAACAGCAAAAAACAGCCCACCGTGGGGCTTGAACCCACGACCACAAGGTTAAGAGCCTTGCGCTCTACCAACTGAGCTAGACGAGCTTGTTGATAATTAGCCACAAATACTATAAATAATCCGTAATCATAGAAAATTCTACGCTGATCTTCCATTTAAAAAGGTGAGTGGAAAACCCATTATTTGTTTGGGGGCACGTATTGCATAAGTCTTCCATTAAACTATTGACTCCATCACATCAGTCCATCGCTCATTACCCATGCGGATTGACTTCCAAACACGGAGACTTAGTAAAATTTAGACATCTTAATTATGAGTAACAATTAAAACGAGGTCGTGGTTAAAGTTCTGGATTTTGTTTTTATATATAGTATAGATTAGAATAGGAATTGTATTAAACAATTTTATAATATTAGAATACGAATTTTAATCTAGAATTATAGTACGAATAGAAAACTAGAAAAAAATATATTTTTATTAGAAAGAGAAATTTTTTCGGAATTGGGCGGGAGGTGAAAGATTGGCATTTTGTTTTTATATATAATATAGATATAGATTATAATAGGAATTGTATTACACTATTTTATAATATTAAAATAGGAATTTTTAAGCCCGCACGGGTTTAGCTCAATGGTTTAGTGGGTAATATTTGGGAGAAAAAACCAAGGTTCAATCCTCAGACAGCGGTAGTGTGGGAATTATGTCCAAAGTGGGCAGATTCCATTTATTAAAAAGAGAGATTTTTTTAGGAATTTGGCCGGAAGTTAAAGTTTTGGATTTTGTTTTTATATGTAGTGTAGATTAGAATAGGAATTGTATTACACAATTTTATTATATTAGTCCACCGTTAACTTGAGACCAAAGTAGTCAATCGTTTATATTTATACGTGAAGTATAATATAATGAGAAAAAAATAATTTTATGGTTATACACACACACACACAAATAAACACACACACACACACATACAGTTTTATGGTTATATTCGCAATTATGACAATGCTTGGTGAGGGGGGAAAAAAAAACATTATAATATTAATTTAACAGGTGAACGAAAGCCTAATGATTATAATGAATGAAAAGTCCAGCTTGGTTAGGGGTTGGGAGTTGGGGGTTGGGGGTTGGTGGGTGGGTAGGCGGGGGGCGGGGGGGAGGGGGGTGGCGGCAAAGCCTCTTATAATTAATAGGTGGTTGCACCCCTGGAGGGAAACAATACAAAATGAAGAATTATAATTTTCAAAGTCACTCATCCATTGTATTAATTATTTAACAATGAAAAGCAAAAGAATAGTGTAAAAAATATTATTCAAACTGGAGGAAATTTTAATATGCTGGCATAATATGCAGAAAATTAACCATAATACCTCCAGTAGATACATCAACATAAAGAAACCAAGTTCAGTTTTGGACTCACAAAAGAAGTTATACTTCAAAAATAAGTAAAACACTGAGCAGAAAATTACCTTCTATCCTCGCAGACGGTTGCCAAAGCTGGACGCCGCTACTCGCCTCACAGATATATAGCTAACGGTGGTCTCGCTAAAGCTCGTTGCCGTTGTCTCGCATCGTAGATGGTCGTTGAAACTTGAAGTCAATGTCTCGCCACTACCGCTACTCGCCTCACAGATATATAGCTAATGGTGGTCTCGATAAAGCTCGCTGTCGTTGTCTCGCATCGTAGATGGTCGTTGAAGCTTGAAGTCGCTGTCTCACCACTGCCGATGTCTAACATTGCAATTGGTCTACGAAGCTCCCCTCGCAGATGGTTGCCGCTACTCGCCTCACAGATATATAGCTAACAGGGGTCTCGCTAAAGCTCGCTGCCGTTGTAGCCTCACAGGTATATGGCTTAATGGTGGTCTCGCTAAAGCTGGACGCCACTACTGGCCTCACAGATATATAACTTGCTAAAGCTGGCTACCGTTGTCTCGCCACAGGCGATGGTCTGCAGGAAAGCCCAATAGTTGACATATTAACAAGTGAATATGCTCAATAAATATACGTCAACAGCAGCATTCGAACCTGCGCAGGCAAAGCCCAATAAATTTCAAGTCTATCTCCTTCGAACCTGCGCAGGCAAAGCCCAATAAATTTCAAGTCTATCTCCTTAAACTACTCGGACATATTGACAAGTTGACACTCATGCTAAGATGATTGTAATAGATACATCAAAGACAAACAGAAAGGAAAAACAAACCGGCAACAGCAAAAAATTGCCCACCGTGGGGCTTGAACCCACAACCACAAGGTTAAGAGCCTTGCGCTCTACCAACTGAGCTACACGAGCTTGTTGATAATTAGCCACAAATACTATAAATAATCCGTAATCATAGAAAATTCTACGCTGATCTTCCATTTAAAAAGGTGAGTGGAAAACCCATTATTTGTTTGGGCTCCCGTATTGCATAAGTCTTCCATTAAACTATTGACTCCATCACATCAGTCCATCGCTCATTACCCATGCGGATTGACTTCCAAACACGGAGACTTAGTAAAAGTTAGACATCTTAATTATGAGTAACAATTAAAACGAGGTCATTGTTAAAGTTCAGGATTTTATTTTTATATATAGTATAGATTACAATAGGAATTGTATTAAACAATTTTATAATATTAGAATACGAATTTTAATCTAGAATTATAGTACGAATAGAAAACTAGAAAAAAATATATTTTTATTAGAAAGAGAAATTTTTTCGGAATCGGGCGGGAGGTGAAAGATTGGGATTTTGTTTTTATATATAATATAGATATAGATTATAATAGGAATTGTATTACACTATTTTATAATATTAAAATAGGAATTTTTAAGCCCGCACGGGTTTAGCTCAATGGTTTAGTGGGTA